AGAGAATTGCAATGAACTTTCTATATTTTTAAAAATATGTAATTGTATCCAGTGGTAGTCTCATTGAAATGAGATCCAAAGCAGAGAAGGCAAAACAAAACAAAACAAAACAAAAAAACCAACAGTGACAGCAAAGCTAAGACAAGTGAGGGCTATGTCATCTGGACGGCCCAGCCAGCCAGAGCCGTCAGATCGGCTGAAGACCCTGCTGGGCTGCCGACACCACAGAAACGAGGTGGCCTCTATATTCGATTATCTCCCCGTGGCAACAGTCACTGCGATTTACCTAAAAGGATTTTTTAAAGCCTGGATCAGCTTTCCCCTGAGTAGATACAAAGACATTTCTGAGCTCTTCTCACCTCCTCCCTGCTAACTGCCTACTGCATAGCTGGTATGAGCTTAGGAGATACACAATCATTTCAGTATTTGCCATGAAGAATAAATTAGGAAGTCAAATTTGCTATCGCAAAACACAATTCAATTAATTTTTTTAAACAAGCCCAAATGCTGTTTAGATTATATCATCCCTTGATGTGGATTATCCAACCACTGCTTTCTAAGATCTCCCTTAAATATGGGTAATGAGAGCTAGCTGCCCAGTGTTGGATAAATCCAACACTGAAGATTATGCACAAAATTGCCTGCTTATCAATCCTAGATCAGACTTATCTTTGTATTTTTAGGATGTCTTAGAAATACACCTAGGATGACCACACCACTAGAAACAAGTATCTGCAAACATAAAGCAAGAGTGCCTGGCGTGGGTCATTGGCTGCTGGGAGCTTCTGCCCTATTGGTACAGATGTATGAAGTGTGAGGTCTTTCTCCTGGCCTTCTGAAGGACTGACGCCAAGGGCAGTTCTGGAAAAATCTGCTACAGTCAAATCAAATGTCACTATGTAAGATGAACAAATCAGAAAGATCAGAAAGATCATGGTCACTCGAACTAAATAAACTAAATCAATGAAGTTGCCAAAATATTAAACACTAGAGGCCTGGTGCATGATTTTATGCACAGGTGGGGTCCAGCCCGCCCGCCTTGATTGGGGCCATCAGAGCAGGGCTTGCTGGGGGAAGGAGCCATGGGAAGTTGGAGATTGGGGAGGAGGTACAGACTGGGGCTCCCCGGTTGGCTGCCGCAGTGTGCATCATAGTGGCTGGTCATTCCAGTCGCTTGGCTTTTATATATATATAGATGCTATGACTACATGGTACATTCCAAACACAGGCATGAAGTCAGATAAGTGTCTGTCTTGCCTACGGTGGAATTCCATAGATGTCAGCGGGAGATTATCATTTTCACACCAGACCAGCCTGGCTCTTTCTGGGCTCTTACCTGCTTCCTCACGGTTGAGCTACGCCTGTGGTTGACCCCATAGGATCAGAGAGGACCAATCCAGCAAAAGGGAGGAAAAAGAAAATGGGGTTAAAAACAGTCTGTTCGGTGGTTAATGAAACAAGTCACATTATTCTGCTAAGACCCAGAAATGGCTAAGAGACTCGATAAATTACTTTCCAAATAAAACCCATTAAAGCTCTTTTCACAAATGTACAGAGTTTCTGCTTTTAATGTCTGTCACCATTCAAAATCAGAATAGAAGGGAATTGATTCAATTTGCAGTAAAAAAAATATTTGGGCTGACAATAAGATCTCCCTGCAAGGAAACATTAGTAAACACCAAAGGAGGCTACAGTTTTCTCTCTTGGAAATACTTCAGCAAAAGAGAGCGAGCAATTTTTCTTAAAAAATTTAGAGGGTAGAGTGTCCAGATTCGAAGGAACCTTGGGGATCCTCTCGCTGTGTTTAAGTCTCGGAAGGCTTTCTCCAAAGGAATCTGACCCAGAGGCACAGTGCTCCAAGAAACAGGAGCAGCGCTGCCTTGTCTGACTGAAGATAGCGGCCAGAGCCTGGCTCCTGGGCTCCCTCTGCCCCTTCCATCAGGCTGCCCCTAATGAACCTCTCTGGAACCCTAGAGCGCCTCAGCTCTACTGGAATGCCTTTTGTCTCATAGATGAGAAAACTGGAGTTCAGAGAAGCCAAAGAGCGGCCCAACGTCACACAGTGAAAAAACAGAGCATAAGGGAATCCAACTTATACTAAGACTGTATCACCATGAAGATACACTCCACAGAAATCTATTATCCTGGTTCCCTCCAGTCATCAAGATTAATGGAACCTTTATTGTAATCCACAATGACAAAACGATGAAAGCCAAATGAAGTTATTTCTAAATAACAAGCCTATGATTGTAAATGGCCTCATGATTATTGTGTGTGTTGGCAGATATAAGTGGTTGATAGAATGGGCTAACCCAGGGTCTCCAAGGAGTCCGGCCATTAAAGCTCTTTCTCCAGTTAAATCAGCACATGTTTAGGCATCTGAGAACTGTTGGCTGAATGAATGCCTTGCTCTCTGCCAGCTCACGAGTGTTCTCATAGCAGCTCCATCACTGGGAGGGAAATATTTGGCTGGGGCGGGGAAGGAAGGGGAAGGTGGAGAAAGACTGGGAGGGTTGCATACTTGTACACCAGGCCAGGATTTCTACCAATGCTGTTTGGCAAGACAATGCAATGTAATATTTCAATATCCAACAACAGCCACTAATAGAGGTTGTCATCTTTTCTGTGCATAAAAAAATTCTCAAATGCTATCTCTTGATTTTCCTTCTCAGGGTCAGAGACTTTCCAAAACCCACATGTTTAAGTCTGGCAGCTAAGGACCCTCCCTCCAGAGTTGATTATTTCTTTTCCTTGTAATGTAGTGGCTTCTGGGAGTTTCTGGGATTATTACAGCAAATGATAACTCCCTTCCCTCAGTTCGGCTCAGGTCTTTTCCTAAGTCCCAGCAGACCCACTTCCATTTGGGGCCAAGTGGTCAGCAAGGCAAAGGGAAAAAGCAACCTCTGCCCTGGGCCACTCCTTTGCAAACCCATCTGATGCCTTTGCAAATCAACTCTTTGGCTCTTTAACAGGCTGGGATCTCTCTACCCCACACCTGTTCCCAGGTCATCCCAAGTCACACCTACCTGGCCAGACTGCAGTCTGTCCTCTGACCTGTTGGAAAGACAAAAGCAAAAAGCACACGTTGAAGCAGAGGGTGAAAGAGTGAGACTTGCTTCTGGGAATCAACATGTCTGCCTGGCTCCCCAGAGAACCTCCATTAGTATCAGAGCGTGACCAGCCTTCAATGCAAAAGAAAAGAGAAGCTTCCAGAGCCCCTTTCTGGTCAAGGGTTGTTTTTGATACTTGTTCCCAGTCCAGGGCTGCAGGTGTCCCTAAACCTTAGGTTTGCCTACTCTGCTTCCCAATGAGGTGGATTTAGGGGAACAATAGCAAGGCAGACCACACGTTAGAGAACCTTTCTGTAGATGAAATTTAGCTTCTCTTCTGTGTACACTGTGTGTGTGTGTGTGTGTGTGTGTGCGTGTGGTGAGGAGTGAGGAGGAAGGGACAGTTGAGATATGAAAGTTCTAGTTTTAAATTCATACTAAATTCAGTTCAGTTGGGCTGGGGTGGCAAGAGGAAAATGAGATTCAACACTGACATTGTTATCAAACTGTGGTTTCTCAATTCAGTAGTGGATCCTAATATTAAGTTTAATGGGTCACAGCCAGCTTTTAAACATGAGATTGAAAATCTCAATGTTCATAAGAAGTATTTCTACGTTTTTTAAAAAATACAATGCATGTATGCATGGGCCATGTGTGCGTGGGTCCACAGTTAACCACGCTTGGTCTGTATTAGACCCATATTGGATAAACCAGGGAAAACCCAAGCAGGCCCAGAATGGAGAAGCTCCCACACTCCTCATCTGTGCTCCTGGGAAGGCACCTCCAAGGGCTGAGAGAGGGCAGGGCTTTTTCTTGCCTTTAAAGGGTTGCTAATTGTTGATTACAGTTCAGCTCTTCTTGAGAAACACCCTCCCCCACCCCTAACAGCCTCTCATTACCAAAGGCTCAGCTTTCATCTGCAAAAATATTATTCTGAGCCATTATTTTCAACATCTGGCCCATTTCCACTCTGGAATATTCATACACATCAATTATCTCTCTGTGGCAGGAACAAGGGGCTCTTGTGTTATGGTGACAAATACATACAGAAGGCAGGGACATTGACGACTTGCACACAGAAAGATCTATAGCTATTTTTTTTTCCTTACTGCTAGAACCTGTCATATTCAGATGAAGGCAATCTGCAGCACTAATGAATGGTCACCAACCTTCGCCCCTCCATAGCAGCACATCTGGCGCATGCGCAAACCCATTCTCTCTCACACGCAGGCTCCCCCCAGCCCCCACCAGGCCCTGTTCCCCATCTCACTTAAGGGCTGTGCTTCAATTATCTTGGCACAAAGAAAGCATGGTTATAAACTTGCTCCGAACAGTTCTGGGCCCTCTTTCCTCTGACTCCCCATGGAGCCATCTGATAACCCAAGAGTAAAGATTTTCTATCAGCGAAGTTTGGATCTCAAAGCCCAAATCTGTTCAGCATGAGTCTCTTGGGTGGTGGGGAGGAAAGAGAACAGAAGTTACTTAACAGGCTTTCTTCACATAAAAGAAAATGCCCGAAAAATCACAATGTCAAAGACATGCGAGAGAAAAGCATCATCTGGGGGAAGTGCCCAGGGCCGGAGAAGGACGGGCGCGAAGGGTGGGCAGGAGGCTCTGGTAAGAAAAACTGAGCTCTGATTCCGGGGCCAATGAGCCAATGAATGCTGGGCACTTTGCTCTGCTCTGCAGTCTGAGGAGTGCTCGGGTTGTACTTTACAAGGTTGGACTTTGTGTCAGTGCAGGTTTGCCTTTCCCTGGTGTTACCACAAAAGCCCCGTAGGCTCCCATTTCCCATCTTTAAGTGAGATTAGTGGGGCAGGAGGAGGGGCCTGTATTCAGAGGCATTCCCAACCTGGGAATCCCATTAATCATAGGATGCTGAGAGACCTGGGCAGGGTGCCAAGAACCCCAGGGAAGCTTCTCTTTCAACCTTCGCCTTCTGTTTGACAGCTGGGGGAAAAAAGTCCAGAGTGCCAGTCCCGTTCTCTGCCTTGCTACTTCCCAGGGTCTGGTTAAAGTCATACTCTGAGACGAGACCGTCCATTCAGCACCTTGGCCTCAGCAGGGCCCAGGCAGAGAGAGGGCTGCCATGTAGCATCAGGGCTGCTCAAAGCAGAAGGAAGCCGCTGCTCGACTGTGATGCTACAGAAAGCAGCAGTCTGTCCGTCACTGTGCCTTTGAAACCCCTCTCCTCTCCTCGGAGCAGCTGGGCAGCTCATCTCCCTTCTTGCTCCAGCCTCAGTCCTGCCACAGAGGAGCTGAGAGTTTTCACAAAGTGTCTGGAGAGTAAGTAACAGCTCGGCCTTTTACCCAGGTCACGGCAGAGGAGGCGCAGGAAGGGGACTGGGTAGAGAGCAGGCACGCTCCATTTAAACAAATAGACGATGCACATTAGTGCTTCATTAAGCACCGGCCTGTTCCCATTACTCAAGCAGCCATCTGGGGAGTGTGCTTCCACATCACAGGCTAGAAAAAGAAGTGCATTCGCACAACCAGACCAGGGCTGGCTTAGGGTAGAGGCTCCGCAATACAATCCAGGGCTCGGCCTTCCCCTCCATGCAAACCTCCAGCAGCGCCCCCACTCACTTTCTCCCAGGGTTTTCTGGAGAAGGTCGTGCTTGGCTTGCAGCTTGGTAATGAGGTTCCTGCCCTCCAGGTACTCCTTCATTTTCTGTAGGGGAGGAGGAGGAGAAAGAGCAATCAGACCCCTGAAGAAGAAAAAAATCACAGCTGTGCAGCTGTCCAATCCCCTTCGCAGAGAGCACTTGGTTTCCGACCCACTTTCTACCAGGTCCATTGTTTATTTCTTTATGACCCCGAGCATCTGGACAGCTGCTGATTTTCATGGGAGTTCCGCATTGGCCCGTGTAAGAAACTCTCCGACAGCCCCTCATTCATCTCTTTCAGTTCCACTGAAAAGGAGCAGGGGGTGGAGGGGCTGACTGAGCCTGGTCTTCTTGGTGTGAGGACACACATCTGCCACTGGTCACCTTCACGGACATCCAGCCTTGCCCCTCCCCCCAACAGGGTGCATTCCATCACACCAGGAGCAATGCCAACGGCAGACGCAGCCCCCACCCCAGCTGCAAGCCCAGCACGCACAGCGTCTTTGTCTAAGCCTGTCTTAATCAGCTTCTTCCTCCATCTGCATGGAGTCTTTGTGGAAAGCCTGGGATTTCTGAGCTTTCCAGAGGGGCTGCCACTCCCCACTTGCACATACACATATCGGCAGCTCCAAACAGAAGACGAGGGTATGGGGATGCCATGCCATCTTCTAGCACAGTTAAAATACGATTGCGGTGCTGCATTTTCTGGTGGGACCTCTCTCAACCCTTGAATGCCCAGAGAGACTAGGTTTCCCTGGACAATTCATCAAATCTTCAAAACAACCCTACAAGCTATTAATGTCACTATCCCCATTTTATGAATGAGAGCACTGAGATTTGGAGAGATTAAATAAATTGCTTAAGGTCAAACAGCGAGCGAGTGGTAAAGCCAGTATCCAAACATACGTAGTTTGACAACACAGTGTGTGCACTTAACCATTATGGTAACATGCTCCCATTATGTTACCAAACAGGAAAAGGAGAACACTGAACAGTATCAATTCTTTGCATACATGTGAATATATGCAGCAAATTAAGGGTGTTTAGAGCACTTTAGCACATATTCTACCATTTGACTATCACAATAACTCTGTACAGCATGGTAGGGAAGGCATCATTATTTTCATATTACAGACTAGAGGCCGGGTGCACAATTTGTGCACCAGTGGGGTCCCTCGGCCTGGCCTGTGGGATTGGACAGAAACCGGCTCTCCGACATCCCCCGAGGGGTCCTGGACTGCAAGAGAGGGCGCAGGCCAGGCCGAGGGACCTCACTGGTGCATGATCAGGGCCGGGGAGAGACAAGGGAGGTTGGCCAACCAGGGAGGGGCCATGGGAGGGCTACAGGGCATGTCCAGTCTGTCTGACTCAGTCCCAATTGGCCAGACCCCAGCAACAAACTAACCTACCGGTCAGAGTGTCTGCCCCCTGGTGGTCAGCGCATGTCATAGCGGGGGGGTAAGCAGCCTTAGCATATCATTAGCATATTATGCTTTGATTGGTTGAACGGCCAACCAGATGACCAAACACTTAGCACAGGCTTTTATTATATAGAATGAAAGGATGATCTTGGGTAAGAGTGCGTCAAATAAATTGCTGATCACTGCAAGGCAGTCAGTGGAACTGTCAGGCCTGGATCACAGGCCAAAGGCCCTCTTAACTCAGGGTCTTTCCCACTCCACCACACAGCCACTCACAGGATCTTCTTTGCCTTGGTGTCTCCTGCTGCAACAGTTCATCTGTCAGACTGGGGCCAACTATACATTTCTAAACTCAGAGGCTACATGGCAGTGTTTCCCTGGTGCTATGTGAGATATCTAGGGGGCTAAGTGAATAAAACATTTTAAATTATAATAGTTCTGTCTTTCTTTTAATGTATTATGCAAAAAGTATAAATGCACATCAAGGCTTTGATTTTATGTCTATTACCAGATAGGATGAAGGCAGAAAGAAAAGGTGAAACAATGTGAGCTACTTTTATTCTGTATGTTTCTGTACAGTGGGAAGTTTTAACCAAGAGGGCATTTCTTTTCTCTCTCCCTCTCTTTCTGTCAAGCAAAAACAAAGAAAAAAAGCCTGGGCTTGGCTGGTATGGCTCACTGGTTAAGCGTTGACCTATGAACCAGGAGATCATGGTTTGATTCCTGGTCAGGAAACATGCCTGGGTTGTGGGCTCGATCCCCAGTAGAGGGCGTGCAGGAGGCAGCTGATCAATAATTCTCATTGATGTTTCTCTCTTTCTCTCTCTCTCTCCCTTCCTCCCTCTCAGAAAGCAATAAAAATATATTTTAAAAAATTTAAGAAAAAGAAAAAGCCTGCTCTCTATGGGAGGCCCTCATTGGCCCTCCCATGCTCAGCTAAGAGGCTCCTGTGCAAACCTCTGCAAATCTCTAAGCCTGCACTTCTCACACCGCCCTGTCCTGGAGGGTTTAATCCTTCTGTGTCTTTCTCTCTAGACTGCCTTCTCCCTGTGGTCAGAGACCATGACATTCATTATTCTTGGCATCTCTGATATTTAGTACTGTGCCCAGGAGATTGACACTCAATAAATACTTGAGGTATGAGTAAGTAAATCAATAGTCTCACTGTCCTCTGGATAGAACCTTCCACAGCAGTCATGAATGAAGCCTCCAAGTGTGTCCCTACTCGCTCTATTAAGTCTAAAACAATCACAAAATAAACCCTATACCAAATCATTTCTGTTGTTTTACTGGGGACCTGCTCCCTCTGCTCCTTTGTGCTTTTGCATGAAGACATCTGCATGAAAACAGGCTTCCTTGTCACCTTCCCCCTTCCTTCTGCTCCAGCTGCCACCTCACCTGCTGTCAGTCTTCTCTGGGTGATAGCTAACCCCCACCAATGCCTAATTGTGAGGTTTGGAAGCTACTTCAGGGCCCAGGGGTGAAAAAGCTGCAGGGAAACACCCTCTGCTAACATCTGAATCCTCACATCCTCTTTGGAAGGTTATCCCAGGGGACTCCAAGGTTTCCTAATGAGGGAAAATTTACCAGGAAACTGTAACTCCTAAAAAAGACCAGACTGCTCAGCCACAACTCTGAAAGGCGACGGATGCAAATTCCTTCCTCTCCCTCAGGTTTTTATTTGTGATTCCGGAAATCTTTTTTTTTTTTTCCTTTTTCATTTTATGTTTACAGTTCCCTAGTTAACTCTGGCTGTCACTTGGTGAACCGTTACAATAAATAAAAATCTGATAAGAGGTATGATGGATTCCTTTTTTTTGGCGGGAGGGGTTTCGTATTAAATCCTGAAGGACTGAAACTGTGTCAAGGTGTGACCTGCAGCCCTATGACTGGGAATAACGGTTGAACGTTTTCCATTTCGGTAAGCCAGATAGGAAGATAAAAGCATCCTACAGTTCATAGGTATGTTATCTATCACTTCTCTGTCCTGCCCAGAGCCAGCACTCCTCTGTATGAGAGAGAGGCTGGAGGAATAACCTGGCTTTTACTGGTAGAACTGAGTTAAAAGCTTCAGTCGCTGCTGATCAGACACACGTGAGAAAAGAGCCGAGACAGCTAAGGCAAAGGAGGAATAGGTGGCTTTTCAATGCTTTCTGCAGACCAGGCCCAGGAAAATAACTATCTATGTGGAATCTCAAAATCCCTTCCTTGGACAATACGGTCACTGTCCTTATTTAAAGCGTGTTCCAAATATTAGGTAATTAATTTTTTTTCATGCCACTCCCTATACCAGGGGTGGGCAAACTTTTTGACTCGAGGGCCACAATGGGTTCTTAAACTGGACCGGAGGGCCGGAACAAAAGCATGGATGGAGTGTTTGTGTGAACTAATATAAATTCAAAGTAAACATCATTACATAAAAGGGTACGGTCTTTTTTTTTTTTTTTTTAGTTTTATTCATTTCAAACGGGCTGGATCTGGCCCGAAGGCCGTAGTTTGCCCACGGCTGCCCTATACCCTGCTCCCCTCAACAAACATCAACAATAAAGGGGTGATCTGGTGTTTTCCTCAATGGAGGAGAGAAAAGAGGGCAGTTTGTATTCTAAGTCTCCAAAATCAAATCAAATTCCTGAACACAGTCTAACCAGTGCCACACCCTCCCCCTAGTTTTACACTCAATGTGATCAAAACTGAGAATTTATTCAAAAAGTAGGGAGGCAGTAAGTCTATTGGGTGGTTTTGGGTTGTTGTTTTTTGTCACTGAGAACCTTCCATTTTGTTTTTATGACCTAAACTTATTTCTTAATAACTTCCTTTAAAAAATATATTTGTATTGATTTCAAAGAGGAAGGGAAAGAGAGAGAGAGATAGAAACATAAAGAGACAGATATCAATTTTGAGAGAGTCATTGATTGGCTGCCTCCTGCGTGCCCCCTACTGGGGATGAAGCCAGAAACCCTGGCAGGTGCCCTGACCAGGAATTGATACAGGACTTCCTGGTTCATAGTTGGATGCTCAACCACTGAGCCACACTGGCTAGGCTTAATCCATTTCTAATTGGTTATCAACTGTCAGCAATGAGTTTTATTTATTGAAAAGTATTAGTATACTTTTTCTTTCTGAACCCTCCCTCTCTAACATTTTGGTTACAGTAAAATGGAAAAGCCTGAGTTGGAATATTCTAGTCCTACCTTTAACTAAGTCTTCTAACCTTGAGCAAGTCACTTAATCCCCAGTCTTAGTGTCCCCTTTCTGAAAACTGGGGATAATCATATCTTTTTCACAGGTTGTTGAAGATGGACCTGTGAAGATGTAGGACTATGATTATTAGCACAGAGTCCTGCCATTAGCAGGTATGCAAAAGCGTTCCTTATACTTGAATCACCTGCTCATTAACCTAAAAACCGTCGTGCTCTCCACTTCTCCGCCTTGTGCTAATACATAACAAAGAAGAATCAAAGCAGGTTTCTAGTCTTAAAAAAAAAAAGAGGCACAAGAATGCTTTGCAAATTTAATTTTAAGTACCTTTGCCCTTTAAATACGCTTACCATGGAGGTATAAAACTCATGGGCCTTATGGCTTTCTGCCTTGGATTTCATCTATGTGGAGCCAGGGCCATAAGTACCCACGGCTACAAAGGGCGGGGTAGGTGGGCGGAGTGACCCATGCCCACCAGCCCCATGTGCAGAGATACACAGATGTCACTCCAGTGGCTGCTTCCCCATCATCAGGCACACTCACGTTTTCCCTCCTCCCTGTGAATTTTTAAAGCAGGAAACAGCTGTCAGGCTGTATAAATAATACAGCAAATCTTTAAATGGGAGCACATCTCCCACTTTAGTTGACAGGGCAGGGGCAGTCATTCATTTGTACCTGCTTAGCACACATTACTGAATGCCTGCAGGAGAATCTGTAATAATAAAAGCGTAATGTGCTAATTAGACCAGAGGTCCTTCCGGACGACCTTCCGAATGAAGCTGGAGTTTCGAGGGAAGCCCGGGTCCTGGGTTCGGGGTGGGGGGTAGGAGGTGGGGGAGGGGAAGGGAAGCTGGTGCCGGCAGTCGGGGGAAGGAAGGCCTACTCTTACACGAATTTTGTGCATTGGGTCTCTAATACCAAGAGACCCAAGATAAAAAAAGATTTCAGACCACCAGGTCCACGTCTAGACCTAGAGCGCTGCCATGGCCAAGGCACCAACTCCTCTCCTATCACGTTGCCCAAATCAATACCCAAGAATTCAGGCAGTCTGGTCTTGTTTATCAGCTGTAATCCTTAACCCCTTCCCACTGCCACCTCCATACAGGAAGTACTTAGAAGAAAAGCCAGCCTTACAGGCTTTGACAGTCCTTGGCTAACTAGTGAGCATTACTGTCTATGAGCAGGGAATTGGTTAAATATGTGATGGTACATCCACCCATACAATGGAATTCTGCACATCCATTAAAAAAGGAGGCAGGTCTGGGCCCTGGCTGGGTAACTCAGTTGGTTAGAGCGTTGTCCCAATATGCCAAGGTTGTGGGCTCAATCCCTGGTTAGGGCACATACAAGAACCAACCAATGAATGAATGTATAAATAAGTGGAACAACGTCTCCCTCCACCCCCCTCCAGCCCCCCTCTAAAATCAGTATAACTAATTAATTTAAAAAGAAGACAGGTCTTTTTGGACTAATCCTATATAATAAAGAGGTAATATGCAAATGGTCATTACGCCATGCTACTTCATAACTGTAATTTTGCTACTGTTATGAATCGTAATGTAAATATCTGATATGCAGGATATATTTTCATTGTTACAAATTGAACATCATTAAAGCAGAGTGATTAATCACAAAAACAATATGTAATTATATATGTGTTTTCCAATGGTCTTAGGCGACCCCCGTGAAAGGGTCATTCGACCCCCAAAGGGGTCGCGACCCACAGGTTGAGAGCTGCTGGTTTAGATGATATTTAAAAATCACTTCAAGCTTTAAAATTCCATGATAATTTTTCTGGGACTCCAGCAAATGCTTCAAATTTCCAACTGAAGTCATCTGAACAGATCAATCTGATGAAAGCTTTCCCAGCAGCACTCTGGGTCCCTGGGCACACTACCGAGGAGGCCAAGCCACGACAAGGAACCTCTTCCCAACGTTCCAAAGGAAGAGAGCTTATAGGAGGCGCTATTCTGCTGTTTGTGAAGGACACGGGGGAAAAACCTGGCGATGTTTGTGGAGGCAACAAACTAAAAAAAGCCCATGAGCAGTTGTGTAGGCTTTGTCTGGTTTGGCAAGCACAGGCAGCCAGCCATCCTGTTTAACATGCATATCCCCTTTTCATGAATGTCCATTTCACCACTCCAAAAACCCTTTTATCATGAAATGAACTGACACATTCTAAGCACCAGTCACAAAAGTAATGAACTCTCTTGTAAGTCTGTTATTAGACAAGCTCAGACAAAAAAAAAACCACACAAATGTTCATGTTAGCCAAGGAAATCTGCACACAATTTTGATAAGTAGCGCTATGGCCACAAAAGACAGGAAATGGTTAGAGAACATCAGTGCAGACAGAGGTGAAAGAGCGGGCAGATTTGAGAGGTCACCAGTTTGAAGATGGCC